ACGCCTCCTCCCACGGGCCGCCTTCTGTATACCCTGACATACCTGGTTGTAAGTAATTCTCCAAAAGTTACTGTAACAACCCTCAAGGAGACGATCCAATTTCCAAATGTAAATTTCAACAACATAGAGAGGGAACACTATTGCTACCAGTCCCCCTGTGAGAAATGAGGTTTTCTACAAAATGTGATTGCCTTTGACATTGTTGCTGTTCCCTGTGAAGTGGTTTTTCAATGTTAAAAGAAGCTGTCCCTACTGGGAAAGGATTTGTTCATGTAAAGTTGAAAGTTTATGCTTGTTATGCATGAGTTCCAGGGAAAGGAAGACAGAGCTGATGGAGAAAGACATGAATGTTCAATGTCGTGGTTTTGAAGGGCTAGTTTCTGAGCCTTCATGAGGACCTGTCATTTGTATGGAGAACAAGGATCTCGCCACACGTGGATAAGGATGAAATGTGGGGCCCACTTCTGGCTTTCGCCATACACATCCCCTTTACCCTAAAGCACCTCCCACTACCCATGCATGAATCCATTCACCTGCACTGTTGTGTCTGTTGTTGTTGTTAGGTGCCGTCCAGTCAGTGCCGATCCATAGCGACCCTGTGTACAACAGAACAAAACACTGCCTAGTCCTGCGCCATCCTCACAATCATTGCTATGCTTGAGCCCATTGTTGCAGCCACTGTTTGTCAGTCCATCTCACTGAGAGTCTTCCTGTCTTTCACTGACCCTGTCCTTTCCTAAGCGTGACGTCCTTCTCCAGGGACTGGTCTCTCTTGATAACATGTCCAAAGTACATGAGACAAAGTCTTGATATCCTTGCTTCTAAGGAGCATTCTGGCTGTACTTCTTCCAAGACAGACTGACCTGTTCATTCTTCTGGCAGTCCATGGTATATTCACTATTTTTTGGTGTTTTGTCTGTAGGAAGCAGAATTCAATTGCAGGTGGAACAGCAAACTCAATGTTAGATATTTTACGACAAAGGCGAAGATTACCATTATTAAACATGATCAGCTTTCTACAGGCAATAGCATAAGTAGGTGAAATCATTCTAGGAAAAAAAACAAACACTTTGCACCTGATAGTAGAGATCTTCCTTACTTGATATTTTTATTTGATACACCAGAATGCACTGAGAGGAGACCAGCCCCCTCCTTGTAGCATTAAAGCTAAATTGTGGGTGGTGGTGAGTTGATTCCAACTCATAGCGACCCCATGTGACAGAGTAGAACTGCCTCATAGGGTTTCCTATGCTGTAATATTTATGGGAACAGATCGCCAGGTCTTTCTCCTGTGGAGCCCTGGGTGGGTTCAAACCGTCAACCTGTTAGTTAGCAGCAAAGTACTTACCCATTGTGCCACCAGGGCTCCTTAAATTGTGGGTATGCAGCCATTAATTCCTTTTTTTTTTCCCAAAAGATGTGTGCTATGTAGACGATGCAGAATCAAGTGATTTTGCATCAGAACTTCTGCTGATTACAGATTTGAATGTACTTTCTGTCAGATTGTGATACTTCTGTCTACTGTGTCGGTCGTCATCTATTCCCCACAAAGATCTATAGCAAAGGCAGGTTTTTATGCAGTGACACTTTAAATCACCTAGATACTGAAGGGCATTGGCAAATTCTAGAGGGGACAAGAGATGACCTCATGCACTGGGAAGAACCTGCCTGGGTTTTCGTCTCACTTGAGAGTCCAGTGGACTCTGCAGTTCTTCCTGGGTCTCAGTTTCCTGGTGTATAAAATGGACAGAATCAGCTTATTTTACTGCATCAGTCCCACATATACCATTTGAAGGACAGCTGAGTCTCCTTGTTTCTGGGGGCTGGAGAGTGACATGTTCAGGATGCAGACTCCTTCCAGTTCTAAGTTTCCGCCTGCAAACAATGCCAAGGGAGCGGGCATGGATCTTTGGGGTTTCTGCATGCAGAACACCACGAAGTGACCTGTGCTTCTAAACAGGACATCTGCTATTCTTCACCTTCCGCTGACCCTGCACCATTCTTTCAAGGCATCCTCAGAGACGCTCAGCTCTTCATGGGGAGAGGACCAGGCACTGCCACAGCTGACAATTTCATGGAACATTTTTCTGAACTCTGAGCACAAATCCATCTTTCTTATTGGATGCTACTAGTAGTCAGTGGGGTGTGTTTTCATTATTATTTTAATTTCATGTTGGCAGAAAGACACTGTAAGAGAGTGCTCTTCGAGGGAAGCGTTTACTTTCTGGGACAGTTCAGATGGATCTGCTTTTGGCTCGGTTCCTCCTGGCACATACGGGGTACATATTGGTTTCCCCGAACTGTGCATCATGGTATGCTCCACTTCTTGGAGGCTCCACACCACATTCCTGAGTGTGCTGGGGCCTTTGAATGAGTACTGAAGGGTAGAAGCACAATGGACAAAACGTGGATCAAGAGAAGTTCCCATTCTTGGATCGCTTACATGGAGCCACTCTTAGTCGGCTGTCACATCCCAGTTATACCACCCAAAAACCAAACACATTGCTGTAGAGTTGATTCCAACTCATAGTGACCCTGTAGGACAGAGTAGAACTGCCCCATAGGGTTTCTAAGGCTGTAAATCTTTACAGAAGTGGACTGCCACATCTTTCTACTGAGGAGCGGCTGGTGGATTTGAACTGTTGACCTTTTGGTTAGCAGCCAAGTGCTTAACTACTGCGTCATCAGGCCTCCCCTAGCTTCACAGACCTAGTGAAAGAATCAGGCATCCATGGGTGGCATAAACAGTTAAGCACTTGGCTGCTAACCAAAAGGTTGGAGGTTCAAGTCCACCCAGAAGCACCTCAGAAGAAAGGCCTGTTGATCAACTTCCGAAAAATCAGCCACTGAAAACCCTGTGGAGCTTAGTTCTACTCTGACACACGTGGGGTTGCCATGAGTCAGGGTCGACTCGATGGCAACTGGTTAGTGAAATAATCACCCTGAAGAGTCAAGTGTTTGGCTTTCTTTGAACAGAACTCTCTACTACCAAGAATTACTTGGATTGAGGCGTGTTGGTAAAAATATATATTTTGAGCAGCTTTCTTTTGGCTGATGTTCTATACCTTTCCCATGGTAACAGCGGTAAGATTCTCACATCCAACGTTCCTCCTTTTATGAATTGAAATAACATGACGCCAAAGGTCTAGTAAAAATAGAATTCAGAGTTTAAGATGACCACATCCTGAGACGGTACCCATACCCCAGAGTTTGCATTTTGACTTCTGACATCTGGTCCTAAATATTTAATTCTGGGCTGTAACTGGGAAATTAATTACAGAAACCTGACTTTCCAAAAACAAACAACAAAAAAAAAACTCCCAAGAAAAAAAATTAACTAATGACATTTGAATAGATAAATTTTGTGTTGCTAAATAATAAGTACTATAAATAACAGAATAAAATATTTACTAAATCAAGAGAGTGGGAAATATAGAGAATAATAATTATGAATTCATCACATCAGGCCATTTTGCACCTGAGTTGCGTTCAGGAAACTTGTTTTGTAATCCTTAGGCTATTGCTATCCAAAGTTGATCATGCTTGGTCTTTTTTTCTTTTTTTAAATCATATTTATTCTGAAAATTTCACATCACTCATTTGTTTTTATATACGTCTAAAATACGGTATTTATCACACATGTACATATGGTAACGTGATCATGAAAGCTATTTTCAGTGCTTAGAATCCCCCTGCCCTGTTTTAAAGGAAAATCCCAATGTAGTACATTCACGCTAATTGAGAACTCTATGAAGAAGGGGTTAAACACTACCCAGGTACAAGTCGGGTGGCCGTTATACATGTTACCCAAATAAAAGCCAGCAACAGACAGGAAGCCAAAAAAACAGGTCCCCAAGGCAGGCATCTGTCTTAAATGATATCATTTGTCGAGTTTCCAGCATCTCGTGCTTGTGAACACAAAAAGAAGGTCTGTGTTGGGCTGAGGACATTACATCCTCATTAGCCAGAATGTTCCTCAAGTACATAATGCAGGATTTTCATTTTAATAAGCAGCAGCTACTTGTCACTGCACTTTGCATGAGATAAATACCGAATGTAATACTAATGACCATTTATAGATGCTGGATACTACTCCTGAGAAACTTTATTCAGATGAAATTATACAGTAACAGTTTATAGAACGTAACTGTGTGGAACTTCTGTGTTTCTGTGCAAACTTGATTTTTCTTTTTAATGCTGAAATCCGCCAACAACAGTAGTCATCATCAAAGGGACCCTAAGTGACATTTGCTTAGTTGGTTATTTTTTGCATGTGAAACCAATGTGAAGGAATCGTATTTTACATTTCAGAAGTCACAACCTAATTGTATGTAATAGTTGGGACGCCTTCATTTCTCTGCAGGCTTCCAAGAGCCAGCCCGTCCTCACTGCCCCGCCAGTGACCTTATGGCTGGCGTGTGGAGAAGGCCACGCTGAGGACGGAGAAATAATTTATCCACCGTGATTGCACAGCCTGGACCACTTCTCTAAAACAAAGACTGACAATGGCCCTAAATTATGGATGGTCCTTGTTGGGGTATGGAACACAGTTCAGTAGAAAGGTGGGAGGCCCTCACACCACTTCACCTGCCATTAGCGGCCGGCCTGAGCAATAATCCCCGAGGAGTAAAACTGATGCTGAACTGTGACCCGCAATTTACAAATCATTTTTCAAAAGGATAAAAAAAAAAAAAGAGCTTAAACATATTTTTGGCATTATCTGAATGGGCGGAATCTTTCATGCTTGTTTTTGTAAGAATAAATGAAAACAGCATGCCATCTAGTTTCTGAGTTTGGAGGAAAAGAACATGAGGTTTTCAGATTATATTTTATTTTAAACCTGGGTGTTTGAATTTTTTTTTTTTTTACATAGCTGAATCCAGCATATGCCCTCCAAACATAATACATTTCTATTCTGTAGCTTAAGGGATCCATCCGTTCAAATGTTGGTCTTTCATCTTTATTACCCTCCCATTAAAATGAAAGAAACCGGGACTCTCTTCAGGTTGGAAGAAGCAATTTAGTTGGTAATGTCCTTACTGCTTGGGTCTTTACATGGGAAGAAAGTGCATCCTCGCCTAGATTTCACACATCTGTCTGCATAAGAAGCAACAACGCCTTTCAGACATAGACCATGCTGGATTTAATAATACCCTTTGATTAGATTATTTTATTACGACATTTTTCCATTACCAGTCATTTCCCGTGCACGGTTACATTCATAAAACCCGTTTTCTCCCCCTTTGTTTGTTTGTGGGGAGATGAGCCAGGCAAAGTCTCTGTTTTGCTACAGCTGTGAGGTCTGAAAGGGACAGATTAATAACTGAGCCCCACACTGGCCGAGCACGCTCCCCGCGTACGCTGCACCAGTAACCCTTTGCTATAATGAGGACACAAAGAGCCTCCCATCGGGCGACGACTCCTCTTCATAACTCAGGAGCGTCACAGTGGCAGTAGCCTCTAGTGCTATTTGTCTTTAGTGCAGTTGTGACACTTCAGCATGAGCCATAATTTGGCAGCTATTTACCGTGACATTGCCCTCCAGTGCAGCCATAACATTCAGTAAAGCCATTATTTGGTTCCATTTACCATATAAATTGTATTGTTGTGCATGCATGCTAGCAGCTACATTAGGTACCTGAAAATGAGTAAATCTTGTAAAATAGATACTAACAGCTCTTCAGCAGCAGGATTTCCTAGCTCCTCCCAGGGAAAGGGAGGAAAAACTAGACTTGGCCCCGAACTTTCCTGGAGCAGCTTCAACGACGTTCAGATTTCTAAACGCGGTCGCTACCCGGAAAGCCAGGGCTTGAGGAACTAATCAGCTGGAGCCTTACATGACACTAGAAAGGCACTATGGGCTCTCCACCTCCACCCTGGCATCTGAGGCCTTCTGCGGTGCACTGGAGGTTAAAGGCACATAGATCTGCCCCAGGCGTGGCTCAGCAGAGCAGGCCTGTCTCATCTCTTTTCACATGTGGTCACTGATGACACGAGATGACATTTGGAGACAGGGAAAGGGACACAGGATCAGTGACTGCTACTTTATGTTTCTGTGACCAGACATGAGGCACAGCTTCCACCTCTGAAAGCCTCCACTGCTAAGCAGATGCACTGCTGTTTTACATCACGCAGTCCCCACTGTGGAGGTGCTACCTGACACTTCTGGTTTCCAGCACCTGAGTCTGTTGTGATGGAGCCCTCGCTGTATGTCCACAGTGCTTCCCTGGTACGGTCCCTGCTCGGTTCTGTAGACCCTCAGTGTGGACACAGTACACACCCTTCCCTTTCCTGTGCACACATCAACTTCTAACATCCTCCTCAGCTCTGTAGTTCCCCTTTGAAAACCTGCTTGCTGTGGTGTATATGTTTTCAACACTGATTTGCTTTTTAATCTTAAGGGGAGAGGAAAATTTTCCTTTCCATATATACCTCACCAGGACGAGTCTGTATAAAAGCCATCAAATACTAGATATGTCTTCGAATACGTCCGTGCTATAGAGTCAATGGGTTTTTGGTGCTTACCCAATCATTATTTCAAATAACTTAGCATAATCAAATTGGGGGGGGGTTTCACCCAAATTTCTATTGAGAAAATTGGCTGATGATTTTTAGGACAACAGGGGCCCCTTCCTAATAATATGGATTCTGAAAATATACAGCTGACTTGCTGCTACATCTCTCACGTATGAACTACTGGTCAGCGTAAGACTGAACTATCCCAGAACAAAGAAGAATTTGTGAAGTATTCTCAAGACCAGTTTTAAAATCGTATTGACATGATCAGTGCTTCCATCAGGAATTAATTTAGTCCCTGGAGCAATAAAAGCTGGAATGAGACTGCCCATGACTAAAGAATTGAATGTGCATGCTTTTTTACACCTTAACCATCCGGGCAAGTTTTATTAGCAAGTTTTTTTTTTTTTTTTCCAAGGGAGGGGCAAAAAAAAGGAGAAACCAATTCATTAACACCTTACTTTTGTTTTAAGAAATATCATACCCATTACCAACTAAAAATACATTGATTTTAGCAATTTTGAGGCATAAAGTACCCATTTTCATTTTCTTTTGATTTATATCATTGTTCTGTTTTTACAGCTTACTGTTGACAGCATGAGGTAATTCAACGACAAGTTTTCCAGTGTTTTTTCCCATGTACATATAATCTATAGCACGGAATACAGACTCCAAGCCAGTAAACTTGCCCCCTGGTGACAGTGCTCCAAGGTCCACCTCACACACCAGTTCTCCGCTTTCACACATCTTGAGCAAGTGGTCCATGGCTGCCTGATACTTAGAAAGGTAATGGTTCAGGAAGAAGCCCTGGATGCTGGCAGATTTTCTTAACAGTTTGGCTGGCAATGTTCCCACTTCAACAGGCGAAAGGCCAGTAGGAGTTTGGTAGCCAGAGATAAACCCAATTAAGATCAAGCGCCCTTTGGTGGCCAATGCGTCCACCGCCAAGTCAAACAGGGCCCCCCCAACAGACTCGTAGACCACATCCACACCTTTGGGGTACTCCCTCTTAAGGACAGCACGCACATTCTCCGTTTTATAGTTGATGGGACGATCACAGCCAAGAGACTTCAGGAAAGCAGACTTTTCATCAGAAGAGCAGGTTCCAATTACATGGCATTTCGCCCTCTTTGAAAGCTGCACAGCAAACTGGCCTGTCCCCCCAGCTGCGGCTGTCACCAAAACTTTCTTCCCTTCTGACAACTCTCCGAGCTCCTCCAGGCTGAGGTATGCAGTAGTGCCACTTACCAGCAGGGCGAGGTACTCAGGTTTCACAGAGGGCACTGGAGTTGCAATGTTGGCAGGCACAACTGTATACTCAGCAAAAGAGCCACGTGCCACGTAAGCCACAGCTTGGCCAACTGTGTACCTGGCACTAGCAGAAAGGCCTAAGGCTACCACCTCACCGACGCCTTCAAAACCCGCATCAAAGGGGACCTTAACAGAAGGGTCATATCGACCAGCCGAATAGTTGATGTCCGATGCGTTAACACCAACAAATCTAGGAGAAAACAAACAGAAATGCATTAAAATCTTTCACTTGCCAAGGCCTTTATGTTCCACTTAGAAAAATTCCTTTAATTCCAGCTACTGTCGAGGGTAAGCTATACGTTCAGATAGAATTCGATAAAATGAGTCCTGCTGTTCAACTGAAAAAATAAATTAAGCAAGTATTAGTTCAACAGTGATTTTCAACAACAGTTTTGGCATATTTTATTGTTTCAGTATATTGTATTGTTTCATTAGTTTAGGAATAACTTCATATCACTTTAAACCTCAAGTTCTTTAGTTCACGTGTCATTTATTTCCCCTCTTCTTCTTTCAAAAGAAGAAATAAGCAAAAAAAAAAATGTTAGGAAGCCTTCATTATATACAAACTTCACTAGGGCATGGGTTGGAAATTAATTGGCCTCTTAACAAAGACGTTAAAAACAACATTGGGATAAAATATATTCAAAGAGGTAGACTTGTATCGATTCTGGCAACAATTTAACACTTCAGATAATAACAGTAATGACAAGGATACTATTAGAGATGGATGTAATGTACAAGGTCATCGGTTGTTCCATGTTCCTGCAGGGCTTGTTTAAAACAGCGGTGGCGTAGCTGCAGCACATTTTCTTTCTGATGTAACTGTGTCTGGTGTGAAAATACACATTTTGATTTAACAACAATTGTCTCATAAAGCCATAGAGATTTTTAGGAAACATTCAACATTTTACAGTCCTTTTTCAGATGAAAAGGAAAGCAAATCATCACTTTATTCTTCCTCAACAAGAAGCAGAGACATAACTTGATTAATACCAGATGATTATTTTCATTTTGGTATCGATTCAGTCTAATTGCGAAGCCAGTATTTTCACCAGCTTTTCCTCGTCTCCGTATACCCCATAACAAAAATATCCTAATACATAAGGAAACAAGTCATCTGCTAAGAATGTCAGGAGGTGGTATAGACATACAACGCAGAACCCTAAAAATGTCACTTCCACCTGTAACCTGGTGGCATGAGGAAAGCTGGTAAGGACATTTTAAAAGCTTTCTCTTTTAACTTAATAAAAGTTAATAAACCAGAAGTGTCCTGTGCAAGGACACACTCTCACAGCAATATAGATCATACTCAACACTTATAAACGCTCTTTTATGGTGATTCCCCAGATATCTATAATGTGGAAAGTTCTCTGTATGTTGTAGAAATAAGCAAGCAGGAAACAAATTCTTTCCACCAAGTCTAGCTGCTTCCAAAGTCAGAGACTACAGCCTCAATTGTATGCTTCAGAATACCATATCCACAAATGATACCGAGGGGTCTAAATGATTTCTGCTGGTTTCTCCTTTGGCATGTTAATATCAAGATGCCTACATCCTATTTTTAGAGAAAGGAAACCCGGCCATCTTTCCTTTGCATTTACATCCTTCTCCAGGCCTGGTCTGTTAAGAAAAAGGCCAGATTCCTCTGAACTTCACAGGGGGGCAGAGGCAGCCTAGCTGGAGGGTTTAGGGGTACCCCTCCAGGAAAGGCTGACTGGAGAGTGGAAGTGAAGGCAGGCCGTGCTTTTGGAGGTGGGGAGAGGGCCTGACCGCCACTTCTTTCTCCGGGCGCGCCTTCCCCATGGTTAGGGTTAACTCTTTGCATCCTTCCCCTCCCTCTGGCTCTCTTCAGGCAACCCCCCCGCCCCGCGGCTCAGCAGTCTGAGCTGGAGCGCCAGTTCCTGGCTGGGGGACCCTGACTTGGGCTCTGGTGGTAGACAGCTTTTGGCGGTGGCGGCCCCGAGGGGCCTCCCCACCTCTGGGGGCTGCACCCTAGAGGGCCGCACTCAGGGAAGCTCCACAGATGACAAGCGCGAGTGTCCCATGTTCTGCAACCCGGCAGTGGGTCCCCACTGCCGAGGAGCAGGGGCGAGTCAGAGCAGTGAGTGTGCCCCGGGAGAAGGGTAGGGAGCTGCATCGCACAGAGACGAAGGGCGAAGGCCAAGTGCGGGAAGCAACGGCTGAGCCGCTGAGCTGCGAACTGGGAGTGGCGACTGGACTCTCCACCACCGCTCTGGTTTAAAAACCCAACACAAGTATCTCAGTCTGGACACCCGCCAGCGGAGGACTGCGGGGTCCGCTGCACTATTCCTGCTGGTCCCTGCCTCGTCCCCGCTGCTCCCCTCACCGCGCTAGGTCTTCTTGAGGGCGTCAGCGTCGGCGCTCCTAGGAGGGTCCCCTCGGAAGTGCCCGGGTCGCCACCCGCTGCCCGACTTGTCCCGTGCTCCCGGGACGGCCGGGAGCCGCGTGGGCGGAGGGGCCGCGACCGTGACTTCGTACCCCTGGCAGGGAGGTCCCTGCCGCCCGCCCTGCGTTCCCTCGCCGGCTGCCGAGCTCCCGCCCAGGGCGGCTAAGTTTCCGGGAGCCCTGTGCGCGCTGGGCCAAGCGGCGCGCACCATGCGGCGGTCGGGTCCCTACTTTGGCTTCGCACCCCCTTTTCTCGCACGCAAACCACCCCACCCCACCCCTCAGCTCTGCCATCTTTTAAGTGGCCTACTCTTTGGTCAATGAGGATCGTGCTGGCGGCACAACCCCCGGCGGCTCCGCTCTGTGCACTTGGCTGTCTCCCGGGTTGCCCAGCCCCTCGTGTAGGGTCCTCTGCCACCCCCCAGTCCCCGCGGTGACAATGCGCAGCTGCAGCGGCTGGAGGCGACCCACTCGCCTTCGTCCTTACCTGGGCTTTGGGAAGAAGCTGCGCGAGGTCCGGAGCCCCGCGCCTTCCACTCCACCAGAAACAAGTTCAAGAGCAGCGGGCGAAAAGGGAAGGGGGGCCTGGCGGCGAGCAGGGGTCAGGAAAGGATGGGGAGCGAGAAAAAGAAAAGGGGAGACACACTAGGAAGTGTTTGCACATTTGGGGTCCCCCTCACCCCCTTTAAAATGTGTGCTTTTAATGAGCGCAGGATTCTAGCAATCCGACGGGAGAATCCACTTAAAAACTACAACTCAGGAACCCCAGGAAAAAGAATGGGGCCGCTGCGGGCTTTTCCCAAATATATACCCTTCCAGAGTCTCTGGGTTTATTTATATTAAAAAGTGCTGAGGCCCTTCGTCATGTTTATTGTGAAAACAGGGCAATCCTGCAGAGGGGAGGGAAACGCTGTCCTTTGAACAAAAAACAAACTCCAGAGCAAAAGCCTTCAATACTGGGAGAAGAAACCAAGTCGTCCAAACCAGACCTTCCCTTTTTTTTTTTTTTAAAAAAAAAAGAAACAAAAAAACCCAGCCCAGGGAATCAGCAGAAATATTGTTACCCGCCCGAGAGCAACAAACTGTTCATCAAAACGCCCTCCCCTCCCCTCCCCCCTTTGCCATTGCTACAAACTCTGTGCGCCATTATCTTACACTTCAGCAAAAAGTCGTTAAGAGTACTTAGAAACGAAATGACCTACCACCCTCTTAGGAAAAAAGCTGTAAATAGCACGTGAACGGACTTAAAGTGAGGGTCTCTTTCTCCCTTTCTTTTCCTTCTCTGAGGGCTGGGCGTGGAGGGGAAGATCTCCAGGAAGTTGTCCTCCGCAGCAGAAAACAGTTAAGGTAGGACCCGGGTAAAAGGGACATGAATTACAAGGGTAACAGGGCTTTTATCCACCCCCCCCACCACACCTTTCTTAAATGGTACACTTTAGTCTCACAATCGATGTCTAGCTTAAAAGCATTTCCCTCCCGGTGAATAAAGAATTTCTATTTCCTGTTATGATGGAATAAGATGTGCAAATGTTTCACTGAAAGAAAAAGTCAGACGGAGCACAATGAAACCCTCAAAACACTTTCCAAACTAGTGAACTGGGGCTTAATCCACTCACTCCAAAGCAGATTTTATTATGATAAAAATGAGGAATGTGTGCATACAATTTCAACGCAATTAACACCGTTCAGGGGCGATTCGGTCTAGGTGAAATGAACTAACCCGCACTGAATTATTAAGCCTCTACTCTTAAAGGAAAAAAAAATTGGTAAAATGCCGCCTCCACGGACACTTATTTGAGAGGATCAAGATCTGTATACAGTTTAGGGGTAGGAGAAGATTTTGCAATAGCATAGGGGGAGAGACAAAGACTCTTTCCCTTAACAGAGAAAACTGGCCATTCTCTTTTCCCGTTGCAGATTTCAAGGTAGAAGTAGTAGAAGTTAGAGGTCAAGTTGTTAAATGAGCACACTATTTATATTAAAGGGATTCCCGGCATGCATGGAGGGGAAAAAAGACGCATGGATCCTAAAGCAACCCAAACTGGAGAGCCGGCGCTCCTGCGCCCGGAATACCGAATTCAGGGTTCAACGCTGCTCGTGCCTTTGGACGAACCCTGGTGGCCCAGGGTCCGCAGCGAGCCCGGGCCCCCTGGCCGCGCCGCCGCCTGGGAGCAGCCCTTTGGGAAGGAGGCAGGAGGGGGCGGAAGGCGACCACAAGCATGAAGGGTGAGGAGTAAAAGAGGGAAAGCTACCCGAGGAGGTGATGAACATTCACAGGTAGAGAGGCCCGGGAGAGCGCGCTGTGACAGGGAGCAGCTCCACCAGGCAGGTACACCCACTGTGGTTGTGGCTAGTAATTTCACACCTTCCCCTATTTGTCCCCTCTGTCTCCCACGCCCCATTTCGCGTTTCTAAGAGGGATTTTATTCAAGCAGTTGTGTGTGTCGGTGTTCATGTTCAATCAATGATATTCTTAATTAGAAAGAAAAAAGGCAAAAACTTTTGCCCGTGTAAGTTTGTTTGGAGGTTTTTCATTTGGGTCTCACCTCCACTTCTAGCAAACCTCGACTGCGTTTTGTATTTTGTACGTGAATGAACACACAAGCCCTTCTTTGTAACCTGGCAGAGCCAGTGTGTTCTTCTCTTACAGCCTTAGCGTTTCAGCACAGAATGAAGGAGTCCTCCGCAGCGACGCAAACTTTCTAGAGAAAAAACGCACCCCCCCCACCCCGGCCAGTCTCCACTCAGTCGTCTCTCAGCTCAACCATTACGTCCTCAACAGGTTTCCAAAGTTTTATATAATGCTTACAGTCCTTAAATCTTAGTCTTGTGGGGGAACGCTGGTAAGAACCTAAAACGGGACGGATCAAGTAAACGTTGCCTCAAGCTCTTTGGGTACGGCACGTTTCGTCCTTCAGTCGTTGAGATGAACTTGCAGTACTTCCTGGCACACAATTTACGACATAGTCACATTCACAACTTACACCTCCCTTCACTAATATTATTCAACCTGAGACATGCAAAACCTTAACCGTTCGGACTGGACTCAGCAGAGGGGCGAGCACTGCTCTTTCTAAGGGACAGGAGGAGCCCTAGTCTGGAAGTCGGGCGACGAGGGGATGAGCTCGGGGACCTCGGAGCGGAGACCAGGCGCGGAGGACCCTCTCCTTCCAGCTGCTTTCCCGGCTACTAGAGCTGAGTCACGTGGAAATATCCGAGGTGGGGGCGGGGGTAGGGACACTGAGGGCAGGGCAACGACCCGAAGGTCACACGGGTGTCTGCAAAACCTGCAGGCAAATGCGCAATCCCCCCACCCCGCCGGCCCAGCAGCCCGGGACACGCGCTGCACGCTGTCGATCTCCTCCAGGAGACACACAACAGTCACCCAGCACTGACAACACGCAGACGACACCGGCGAGGTGCACTTGAACACATCCAACAACAGGCACCGCCACTGTGCAGCGGCCGCCCACCTGGCGGGGCAAGAGGCGCCGCCCCGGCAGCCCCGTGTCCTCGCTCCGCCAGCGCTTTCCCCAAATGTCGCTATGTGCGTCCGGGTGGCTCTTGCTTCCCCGAAAGCGCAGCTGCATGCGGTGGCCGTGGGTGCGAAAGGGCTACGAGGGGAGCCTCCCTTCTGGGTCGCGGCGGTTTTATTTCGGGCGGGAGGGGGAGGAGACGGGCTGGGGGAGGGGAGGGGAATCCCAAATTAAAAGAAGCCCTCAGCGAGGAGGCCGCTCGGCGACACCGGGATACGCCATCGCAACAGGAACCTGCAGTCGCGCTCGCCAGATGGCGGCGGGCGAACTTCCCGCGGGCGGCCGAGGCGGCACAGACCCAGCGCGGGCCTGGGGTGGGGCGCGGGGCTCACCGGTTCCGGACGAGGAGGTCTCCGTCCCCTGGGAGCGGCACCGAGCAGTCCTGGCGCAGGGTGACCGCCTCGCGGAAGTTGGGGCTCAGCCGGGTTACCACCAGCTTCTGCATGGCGCGGGGGATGGCGGAGCCCTGGAAGTCCAGGAAGTGGCGGGCGTAGGACATGTCCACGATGGTCCGCAGCGCGCGCATGGCCCGC